AGAGGGAGAGGGAGAGGGAGAGGGAGAAGGAGAGGGAAAGGGAGAGGAAGAAGAAGAGGAGGAGGAGGAGGAGGAGGAGTAATAAAACAAAGACAATCACCAAGCAGAGACATTTGAAAAATCTGTTAAGAGCAGGAAAATATGAATATCGAGAAACTATAATATATTATCTTAAACAAATATCATTTATTCTGTTTCCTATATATAAAAAATTAAACCAGAGAGTGAGAGAGAAAGAAAGAAGAGCGAGAACACAGAGATTAAGAAGAACAGAGAGAGACAAAGATGGAGAGGAAGAGAGAGAGACAGAGAGATTGGAGAGAGACCATTACCACTGTATTTCACAAAGTGCAAATTTCTCAATTACACAATATAAAGGTTATTCATGCTGCTAAAATCTCCAAATTTGGGCGAAGCATAAACCTCAGTGGTGCCCACCTGGCAAATACAAGGTCCTAAGTGCAATTCCTTGAACCAAAAAAAAAAAAAACAAAAAAAACCAAAAAAAAAACTGTTCAAATTTATTGGTTACTGTGAAACATTTGCAAGTATGTTCAACTTTGTAGTAAAAATGCATATGTAGATGCGAGTCAAAAGTTAAATATATGCTTAAGGCATAAAACAAAAATATTCCCTTAGAACTTGAATATTTCATAAGGAATCTGCTGCTTATGAACTGCAGGATCTCTTCAATTCATATGATGCTAAGTCAGAGAAGAAAGGCCACAGGCTTACAACAAGATCTCAGCTTCCTGCACCTGTGCTTAGGCTCTGCAAGAAGTTTATAGGACCCTCAGCGCCCTCTGCTGGTCCTGAGATACCCTGCAGTGAGGTCCAGAGCACAGTGATGCACTGCCATGTCCTTTGCTAATACATCATCCCTTTCACTTCTCTCAGCATTCTAAACGGTAGAAAGACTGACTTCAGTAGTCCAATTATAAATAACAGTTTAATTAGTTAGCTTATAAATCAGGATCCTTGTTAGGGAAAGGGCCTGAGGCAGACGTGGGAAGGTTTTGATAAGAATTAAAATGAGACTAGCAATAACCTAGGACTTTGAAGTGAGAGTGAGCTTTCTGTCCAACAAGGAATGCAGACTTGTTCCTATTGAAAGGAATTCCAGCCACTCCACATGAATCACCTGAGTTTCCCAGAGTTTAAAATACAGAATAACCAGTATTTCTCTACAATCCATTTCCTTTTCCTTTAAACCCTGCATGCTGAGGAAGTTGGTTACAGAGCCTGAGTTCAAAGCATTTGTTTTCGACAGCATGGTAGCTTATGCCTGCAGTCCCATCACATCACAGGCTGAAGCAGTAGGATCTTCAAGTTTGAGGCCTGTGTGGGCTACATACTGAGTTGAAGATCATTCAGAACTGTATAGTTGGACCCTGTCTCAAGAATATAAAAAAGAGGTTGTTTTAAATCCATTAACCATGTGCAACACGTGGCCCTGAACAACTGAGTAATTTCTGTACTCTACTCATTTATAATTCACACTGTATTGAGCACCCAAACGGCCAACAACTTGAGATGCATCTTGGAAATCAGGGAGCTGTTCTACTTTCTTCTTTTGGTTCAGGACCTCATTCCTCAATGTTGTTAGATTTTGAGACCTGTTAATGCAATAAAATCATTGCCAGTACAGATCTCACATACATAATTCAAGTGATTACTTTGTTATTGCTGAGGATTGAACCCAGGTTTTCCTCAGAACCACTGTGCTTCTCAGACTGGTGAGCAGTGCCTGGGGCTGCTCAAGAAGGGGTTCTGGGTTTGCAGTTTCACAGTGCAGAGAGTATGCTGGGAACTGAGAAATATGCCAGCTGAGGAAAGGGAAAACAGGACAGATGAGAATGCAGGACCAAAGACTTAGGAAGACCTCAGGATCTGGAGCTCAGCAGGCAGGCAGGATATTGCCGTAACTGGCTCTGGCTACTTCCTTCCAAAACTCACAATTGCATTCATTTCCCTGCTCCCATCCCATCTCATCACCAAGGCAAGCCTTCAAGTTTTCTGAAGAGCTTTTGCAGTCTGTAATGACTAGAAGTCTCACAGAAAGATGGTCTAATCAGCTGGAGAGTTTCAGCAACATACTCAGTGTGTTCATTGGCACCATGACAGAAAAAGCGCCCTGCCTACCTAGGCCCACCTGATTGGCTAATTCAGACATCCTGTGCCTTCATCTCTGATCAGCTCTGCTCCATTGACATTCAGCTGAGCTGAGCTTGACAACATAAACCAATCTCTCCAGCAGGAGTGGAGCACAAATGATAGCTTGTAAATCAGGAACTGCTGGGCCAGTCTCTCTCCATGGACTCTAGTCATACCTCGCCTGAGGAGTACTTGTATTAAAGGGCTTTACTCCTGCTTTTTAACACCTGCCCTGCTTTTCTTAAGGGACTCAATGAACTCTTCTAGAAAGTGGATTACAGAAGTGCTCTGAAGGTGCCAGGGTAATTATCTCTGAAGAATTTCCCTTTGCTGACTGAAAATATTCTGAGTCCAGGCCAGCACAGCACAAAATGAAATGAGGGGTGCTGTTTTGGGAATAATGCAGTATGCTTCATTGTCAAGATATTCACACTGTCTCTCTCAATATACTCATTTTCATTCAACTAAATTAGTATATGTCCATCAAGAGAAAAAACAATTATGTGTAAATGAAGAAATTAGAGATAAATTATAGGAAATTTCTGCAAAAGACTAAAAATGAAAAAAATTCAGCAGGACATGGTGGTGCACACATGTAATCCCAGCACTTGGGAGGCTGAGACAGAAGGATAGTTATAAGTCCAAGGCCAGCCTATGCTACAAAGTGAGTTCAAGGCCAGCCTGAACTGCATAGTGAGACTCAAAAGACAAAAAAAAAAAAATTATCTCCAAATGACAAAAAAAAATTCACCTCCCTCAGACAAGCTTCATACTGTATCCAGTGTCATGAAACCTACCCTACTTCTGAAGATGAACGCAGCCCAGTATGAGGGCCAGAATGATTGCTGACACATTGCCTCGCAGTTGTCCACTTGTTTACTTCCTGGTAATGAAGCTGAGATAGAGAAGGACTTTTGTCTCCAAGTAAAAACTTATATAAATATTGTAATACTAAATTTATTGAGACAATATGAGAATATGCAGGTTACCCTTGGCCTCTATTATTATAAGAGATGCTCCAAGTGGTGGCCATCATCTCCCAGATATTTAGTATTACCATGAACTCTTGAATAGCTTGATCTGGAGCTAAGCTTTCTTCTTTTGGTTCTCTCTGTCTGTCTGTCTCTCTCTCCACTATATTTGTGTATGAGTGCATTTCTAAATTGTGATTCCAATTGGTGTCTATGGTTCCTTTTAACAACTCATAAATTTTATATGTTAGACACTGACAACAAAAAAGAAAACCAGAGAAAAATGACTTAGAAATTCAGATGTAGGCTATTCTACCTGGGGTTGGATCCTGGGGCCTGGGACACATCCAAAGGAAGAGGTCTTTTGTCCTTACTGAAATCAACCAGGAACAAAGGCCCTCATGTATCTGTATCTGGACACACTACCTCCTTAAACATTTGCTATCTGTCACTGTTTTATTCTAAATAAAGTTTTTAGTTTTCTCTTGTAAACTTTCCTTGTGAACTTTCCCTTGTGAACTTCCCTTTTTTTCCCCTTGTGAGTATATCAAACTCCTTCTTGTTATAAAGTTTACCACTCCCAGTTGTATATGGTATTTTGTGTTGTATAAAACCAAGACAGGGGCTGGGGATCTAGCTCAGCGGCATAAGCGCCTGCCTGGCAAGCGCAAGGTCAAGAGTTTGATTACCAGTACTGGAAAAAAAAAAAAAAAAAAAAAAAAAAAAAAAAAAAAAAAAAACCCAAGACATGAGTGGGTCATGTAGAAATTCCATTTATCTGTCTTTTTTTTTTTTTTTTTGGTTTCCACCCTTGGAGAAACCAGAAACCTTTTTTTCTCTTTTCTTTTTTTTTTTTTTTTTTTTTTTTTTTTGGTTTTCCCATAAGGTTTCAAACCAAATGATAGGGATTAACAGTGGTGGTTTTATTACATAGTGTTATCTTCAACAAAATTGCTCAGAATACCAGATGTAAGACTGGAAGATGGATCAAACCATTAAAGAGAATAAGAAAAAAAATCAACTTAAATAAGTCAAAAAATATTCTCTCAAAATGCATTGCTTGATATTGTGAGTACAGGATCTTAGTTTGTATAGAATTAACAATTTCAATACATTTTTAATGTAATGATTACTGGGTGCCTATTAATAATGGCATATATTTTGCAAACTACATAACAACCTTGACCTTTGACATAGACATTTCCTTAAAAATGTGCTGCTGGAGTTTTATTTATTTATTTATTTTCTGTACCAGGAATCAAACTCAGGACCTTGAGATTGCCAGGCAGGCACTGTACTACTGAGCTATATCCCCGGCCCGGTTTTTAATTTCTAATCAGATTTGTAATCAGATTTATTGAGATCAGTGCATTTGACATCAAGCTCATAAATTTATCTTTGCAAGGATCAAGCTTCTGACTTATCTGAGTGCCTAATTCACTCCTGACAAAAGTTTTGAATACTGGCCATAGCAGTTTCCATATGAAATCCCTGAAGATAATTGGTGCACTGTTACGAGAATGCCCTCCATGGTGTACAGGCACTTAATTGGTCTTTATACTAGTAGAATTCTGTAATGAGTGTGAATTGGATTCCTGAGAGTTTTTAGACTTACCAGAAGAGATGGTACCTGAACTTCTGTCATTCTACATGTGTTGTTACTGAGATTTCTGTCACTGTGAACAAATATCTGAAAAATTCAGATACTGGAATTGGAAGTTTTAGTGGAGATATACTTTGGCCTACACTTTCTGAAGTTCAGACCATGGCAGGACTGTAAATCAGAGCACAGGAGCACACCTCATATTGGTCATGAAGTAGAGGGAGAAGTGAGGGGTCTATATCCAAGTAGGTGGAGCCCAAAGATAAGCTGTGTGTGTGTGTGTGTGTGTGTGTTGTGTGCATGTGTGCATGCGTGCACACATAGGGATTCTACAGTCCCACCAGGAGTCCCCTCTCCACCCCTTCCTGCACAGCTCCTGCCTGCATCATGGTGCAGCTTAACCCCTCAGTGCCCCTAAAGCCCAGCTCCATTCTATCTCCTTATGGTTGATTTGTCTCGGTGCACACTGATTTCACTCCCTGTGTCTCTCACACAGTAATGCGTAGGAGGCTCCTCTGAGTCACAGAGCGCAGCTGCAGCAGAACTGGCTCTTGGACTGGTCTCTGGAGATGAATGCATTGCACTGAATGGAAAGGTTGCAGTAAGCTCGACCTCCAACTCATGTCCAACTCATTCCAAATCCAGAAACTGATCAACTGGAACAAGTAGGAGACAGTGCACACTGTTAACTGAAAACGATAAGTAAAATTGCAGAGCAAAGTTAGTGCTTATTGGCTGGAGACTCTGCTCCTCTGCCTTCCCGTCCGAGTTGAACACTCACTGAAGGGGCACATGACGTGTCCTACATCCAGCACCGATGACACTATGCTCAACTCCAATCTGCTGGGACCTCTTCTGTCATCTGTTCCCCAGGTAACCATGAAGGTCAGGGTGTGGGGATTCAGAGAAGGATCTTTGTCCTGTCAGTATACCCTTGAGAAGGAAGTTCCCACTGCAGGGTATTTTCCCCGAAGAATTAAAAACATCAAATCACAGTGATATGTGTGCATCCATGTTTATAGCAGCATAAATTGTCATTGCTAAATCTTGGAAACAACACAAATACTCAGCAACTGAGGAATGGATAAAAAAAGATACGGTATTTTTATACAAAGGAGTATTACTCAGCTATAAAAAAAGATAAACTCAAGGATTTTATAGGTAAATGGATGCAACTAGAGACCATACTCATAAGTGAAGTAAACTGGACCCACATGTGTAAAAGCCGTATTGTTTCCCTAGTGTTAGAATCTGAAAGACAAATAAAACCCAAAACGTAGATACTATGAAAGAGATACAATAGATACTATGAAAGAGAAAGAAATTGTACAATAGATACTATGAAAGAGAAAGAAATTGCTCAATGGAATGAACAACTGGGATGATGGAAAGGAGAAAAAGAAAGAAAAGAAGAAGAAAGTGAATATGTATGTATATAGAAGGTCTGAAGTATGGCAGCCAAAATACAGACGGACTCTGCTATAATGGCTTGTCCCGATTTTTCCCTCCTGCTGTCCACTGCATGGATCATAAAGCTTTCCTGCATCTCCCAATGACTGGTGATCAAAGATCCAACCTTTGAGAACCAAAAGACAACAGAAATGTTTCCATATCTGGTTCTGATGAAGAAAGTGACAGATTCCATTTCTTGGTTACACCTCAAATGATCAAGTGTTCAACCCATGGATCATTGCATTTAAACTGAGCCTGGTCCTGTCATTCAGGAGGCATCTTTGTAACTACATTTGGTGGAAGTTACCTACATACATCTTTCAAAAATGGAGATGAGCAAGAAATAGATGAAAGACATAAAGAGGGATCCCAGTTGTCGATCCTTAGAGATATTTATTAAATGTTTTTGTACATCAAAAGAAATCACCAATAGGGTGAGAAGACAACACTCAAATTGGGAAAAAATTTGAGTTAACTGTACCTCAGACGAAGGACTTCTATCTAGAACATATAAATAAAGTCCCCAAAATTCAAAGACCCAATTCAAATTGGGCATTTGAGATGAGTACACATTTCTCAGATGTAAAAAAATAAATGATAAATATATGAAACAATGTTCAACCTCATTTGTCATTTGAGAAATGGAAATTAAAACAACTCTGTGATTCCATCTCACACCAGAAAAAATGGCTGTCATCAAGAAATCAACCAAAAACAATTGCTGGTAGAGCAGTGGGGCAAAAGGGACACTTCTTCACTGTTGGTGGGAGTGTAGACTGCTGAAGCTACTGTGGAAATGAGGGTGGATATTCCTCAAAATTAGGTGTAGAGGTCTCAGTTGACTCAGCTATTTGCCTTCTTGGTATTTTTCCAGAAGAATTGAAAACATCATACCACAGCAATATATGTGCACCCATGATTATAGCAGCATGATCTGTATTAGCTAAATCTTGGAAACAATACAAATGCCCATCAACCGAGCAATGGATAAAGGTGTATTTTTATACAGTGGAGTACTACTCAGGTATAAAGAAAGATAAACTCAGGGTTTTTACAGGTAAATGGATGCAACTATAGACCATACACAAAAGTGAAATGAATCAGACTCACATGTGTAAACATTGTATTGTCTTCCTAGTGAAAAAGCTAGAAGAGTAAATAAGATCCAAATGGTACAGTAGATATTGTGAAATGGAAAGATACTGCTAAAAAGGAAAGAAAAACTTGGATCAGGAAAATAAAAAGAAAGTAAAATGTATACATATATATGACATCTAAGTAATTACACTACTAATTTATTTTAGTTCATTGAAAGGAACATTTATTGCTTATATTATTTGATCAATTTTGCATGCTTTTATCTTTAATCTGAGCAAAAACTTTGAAGATAACAGTATGTAATATAGTAACCAGTGCTAATTCCTCTCAAATTGTTTTGAAATTCTGTATAATTTTTATTTTTATTTTCTCTATTTAACAAAAAACAGGACATGAGAAATGCAAAAACAATGAACTCATATATTATACACTTCAAATGCCTTCCAGAGATGAACCTTTACATTATGTATTACAAATATATACTAAAAAAATAAAATCCTTTAAAATAGCTTTTGCTTTTCTGATTGTTTATCTTATCAGCAACTCTAGAGACACGCCATGAAAACTGGTAAAGCCCACTTCTGAATGATTTTGTGGACCCTTTGAGAGAAACTAATAGTGAATTACAGATCGAGTGGAAAACAATGGTTATCAGAAAAATCGGTGCCATCCATGAAGACTGGTCATTAATGGATGAAAAGTATGAGAAAAAAAATCTTCGGCAGACTTGGATTTTCTTAAAAAGGTGAGATATTTTACTAGTTCAGTACAGATACATAGATATTTCTTTGTGATTTATTGAAAAACACAAAAGGAATACACTGTAGGACATCTCCACCTTTGTGTGTATTTTCTGGCAATTATATGGACATCAATATTTTATATTATTTCTACTGGTCTCCTTTATATTCATAATTTTCAAAGTATTTTCAAACTAGTCTCACATACATAGAATTTCACTTCAGTGTGATTTCTTCAACATATTTGACAATACCCATATATACTGAATGCTTTCCCTCAATGAATACAAAGCCAATGGCCACAAAGTGACACTGTTCTGAAGAATAGCATTTCTCTCAGCTGAATTTTGTGCCACATTTCTTATATACAGTTATTCCCCAGTAAAAAGGGAATTCCATGTTTCAAATGAAAACCTAGCAGCAAATCTTTTCCATAGCAAATACATACACAGGGCTTTTCCTTATGGGCACTATTTCCTGGATGTGAGGGAATTTTGGTGCACTGAGTACATTCCTTCATTGTTCAAAAGCCTAAGGTTACAGTCCAGTGTGGATTCGTTCATGTTTGTGACAATCACTCCGGTGGTTGAAATATTTTCCACGTTGCTTACATGTATACCTTTTTTCCCCACTGGGGGTGCTTTCGTGACGTTGACACTGACTGTGTCTGTGAATGCTTTCCCACATTGCTTGTATATACCGAATGTCTTCACAGTGTGAATTCTTTCATGTACTAGAAGGGTGTAATTTCAGTAGAATGCTCTCCTACACTACTTCCAGACACAGCGGTTCTCCGCAGTATAAATTCTTTCATGATGTTGACATGTACTGTGTGCACTGAATGTTTTCCCACATTGCTTACACACATAGTGATTCTACCCAGTAAGAACTCTTTCATGTACAAGAAGGTTCCTATTCTGGCTGAATGCTTTCCCATATTGCCTACATTCATACTGTTTCTCTCCAATGTGAATTCCTTAATGAATTTGACAATCCCCGTATGTACTGAATGTTTTCCCACACTGCTTCTATTCATACGGTTTCTCCCCAGTGTGAATTCTTTCATGATGTTGACAACTATTGTGTGTACTGAATGCTTTCCCACGTTGCTTACAGACATAGGGTTTCTCCCCAGTGTGTATTCTTTCATGTTGTAAAAGGTTAACATTCTGGCTGAATGCTTTCCCACACTGCTTACACACATAGGGTTTCTCTGCAGTGTGAGCTCTATCATGAATTGTATAACCTGTCACTGTACTAAATCTTTCCCACATGTTTGACATACATAAGGTTTCTCACCAGTGTGAGCTCTTTCAGGATTTTGACAGACACTGTGCCTGCTGAATGCCTTCCCACACTGCTTACATTCATAAGATGTCACTCCAGTGTGAATTCTTTCATGTCGTGAAAGGTTACCATTTAGGCTGAACGCTTTCCCACATTGTTTACATGCATAGAGTTTCTCCCCAATGTGCTTCTTTCATGTACTAGAAGGTGATCATTTTGGCTGAATGCTTTCTCACACTGTTTACATTAATATGGTTTCTCCCCAGTGTGAATTCTTTCATGATGCTGACAAGTACTGTGTGCACTGAATGCTTTCCCTCATTGCTTACATACATAGGGTTTCTCCCCAGTGTGACTTCTTTCATGTACTATAAGATGACAATTTTGGATAAATTCTTTCCCGCATTGCTTACATACATATGGTTTCTCCCCAGTGTGAATTCTTTCATGTTTTAAAAGGTTACCATTTATGCTGAATGCTTTCCCACATTGCACACATGCATAGGGTTTCTCCCCAGTGTGAATTCTTTCATGTACTACAAGGTTACCCTTAATGCTGAATGCTTTCTCACATTGCTTACATGCATAGGGTTTCTCTCCAGTGTGGATTCTTTCATGTACTACAAGGTGACCATTTCGGCTAAATTCTTTCCCACACTGCTTACATACATGGGATTTCTCCCCAGTGTGACTTCTTTCATGTACTAGAAGGGTACCATTTTGGCTGAATGCTTTCCCACATTGCTTACAGACATAGGGTTTCTCCCCAGTGTGAATTCTTTCATGTACTACAAGGTGACTTTTTTGGCGGAATGCTTTCCCACACTGCTTACATACATAGGGTTTCTCCCCACTATGAATTCTTTTATGTACTAGAAGGGTACCGTTTTGGCTGAATGCTTTCCCACACTGCTTACATATATAGGGTTTCTCTCCAGTGTGGGTTCTATCATGCATCGTACAACCTGTCACTGTGCTGAATATTTTCCCACATGTTTGACATGCATAAGGTTTCTCACCAGTGTGAGCTCTTTCATGATTTTGACAGATACTGTTCCTCTTGAATGCTTTCCTACATTGCTTACTTACATATGTTTTCTCTTCCATGTGGGATATTCTATGCTTATGAAATGAGGACTTACAAGGAAATGCTTTTCTGTAATGCTTATATACATAAAGTATATCCCCAGTGTGAATTTTGTTATGTTTTGGAAAGGAATTACTAAGAGCTAATGTTTTCACACATTTGGTATTTACACGTTGATTCTCTTCAGCATGTCTTCTTTCAAAATTCTGGATAAAGTATGATGAAATGAAACTATTCTCAAAGTATTTGTATGCATATGGACTCCTCAAACGCTGCTTTCTTTTATGCATTTGAACATCATGGAGTGTTGTGGGGACTTTCATACTTTTCTTACCTAAAAGTGTTTTCTGCCCATGGTGAGTTTGTTCACTAAGATCACAGGTAGCCTTCACACCCTGCCCATATAGACAGGGTTTCTTGACAGTCCTCATTTCATGCTCCTCGAAGGACTGGAAATCACTACAGCTTTTTCCATATTCATTACATTCATATAGCTTCTCTTCAAATCTCAAATAATTGTGTGCATTATATCTGTAAAGGAGAAAGATAAATATCAATCACAATGAAATGGTCTCCATATTAAAAATTGGAGTTTACTTTGATGCCTCCTAAAAAATTATGGTGATGAATTGACTTACTGCGGTGGAGGATACCTTCAAAAGTACTTTTCATTCATAACAGGATGTTTATTTTTTGAGAATTTTAAATTGGTATATGATTCCCAGACATAATATCATTTCATTTTAGGTGATGGTGACGCATGTGTATTAAACATTAATCATTTTTGAGTTCTCCTCCCAACACTCCCCCTTCTCTATTTAACCTGATTATAATTTTCATCTCCAAATCCATATGTTATCTGCATTCTGTGGCCTCTCCTTACTTTTATTCCCTAAATATACTTTTAGTTTTTCACTTGAGAGAAAACCTGTAATATTTCAATTTCTATGTCTGACTTATTTCTCTTGTCATTACAGGATACAATCCCTAGTATACTTGTCTTTTTGGGAAATGTTAACATTGCTCTTTCCATAAAGTATTTTTCAGTGAAGTGGGAAAAACACAAGTCTTAGCACAGAATTACATTTGCAGATTTATTCCTTCTTATTTGAGTGAGATCTTTATTGCCCACTAAGTTGCTCAGGCTGAACTTGAAGCTGTCATCCTGCCAAGTCAGATTCCCAGAGTGCTGTGATTATAAGAATGCACCACTATGCAGAGCTGACTCCACATTTTCTTTATCCAGGAATCCAGTGATGGGCATCTAGGCTTTTTTCATAGCTTAGCTATTAGAAATTGATTCCAACTTAGAGATTTTGAATACCAATTTATGTCCTGCCTTGAACAACACACTGTAAAGACACTAAAATTGGCTGATTTTAACACATTTCAAAGTAAACCAAGGGAATCACAGAGCATAATGGCACATAATATAGTCTCAACACTCTAGACTCTGAGTTAGGAAGATATCTCTGAGCTTGAGCCCAGCTTGGGCTACAGAGTAAGATGAAGGTCCTACTGAACTACAGTGTGAGACACTGGTGCAAAAAGCAAAAACAAAAAGATATATCCATGGAGGTATAACTGGATCTAGTGGAAACTTATGTATATTGATTATTATAAAGTTTCTATTTTATATTCCCACCAAGAAGTATGAGAGTGACTTCTGAGATTTTTAAACATGAATAGTTCAATGTTCTGGTGCATGTTTTCAAAGTACTTATTATGACAACACTAGCATTTATTTGCATTTTGAATACTGCTTCCTTGTGTGAAATTTTCTAGATCATGAATGACTCATACATAGATACATAAATGGATATTTTGAAGATTAGTTTCCTTCAAAATTTAAAATTTACTGACTTCATACATGCCTATATGCAATACTAAAATGCAATCTCATACATTTCCATTATGTTGATCAGGAAAGAATTTTTTCTACTGAAATATGAAGTTTTGTTATTTGTTGTATAGTACCATTAGTACCTCAGATAATATAAATTGAACCCAAATGCTCCTCTGGATATTTCTATGTAGTTAAGTAATTGGAACATGGTCTCATTTCTTCAGTTTAATTGGTTGTAATATTTCTGGTCACACACTGACTCTGGAGGGATAGTCCCTTTTTCTTGTAATTGAAAATTACCTTAGATTTCTAGAACAATTTTTGTCCTCTTCTCCTGTTTGCTGTTGATCCCATGTTCTTCCTGTATTGTACATATAGACATACAAAATCAGTGTAACTTTATAAAAAATCATGGATTCCTGTTATAATCATGGTATAATGTAAGAAGTGCACAGATATACCTCAAAAAGTAGTAAGGTTCAAGTTTATTAAACAACATCAGTGAGCAACTATGAATGCTCTAGATTACATAAGTAGGAAAACGATATCATTCTTACCTACAGCATAAATATTCCTCAGTGTTTCCCACATCACAGCTCTGTAGAGCTTCTTTTGGGATGGATTCAGCAAAGCCCACTCTGCCATTGTGAACTTCACAGCTACATCCTCAACAGTCACTGTCTCCTAGATAAGGATTACAGCGATAAGATGATGATATAATCAGCAGTTCTTTACAGACAACATCCCTTTATACATATCCCACAAAACGGATCAACAAATTATGTAAGCAAAACCAGAAATTGCAGGGGAAAATCATGTATTTACAACTATATATTTGAGGGTTCAAAGAGCTCCATTAGTAACTGACAGCTAATGAAAGTGAGAAATACTTAAAGTCATACATAAAAACAAAATCATATTTTAACTAGATTTATCAAAAGGACTTTATCTAATGTTTTATGACATCAATATGTATCACACTGCCTTCTCAACCCCAAAGAAATAGTCTCCTATATAGCCCATGTTCAGAGCAACAGTAAAGATCTTAACACAGTCAAAGAAATGGAAATCATGCAAAGCAAGCTCACAGAAAATTCTGGAATAAAATTTGAAATGAAAAGCAGAAACATATTTATAATACTCCTAGGAAGGAGAGATCAAATTATCCATTTTTAAATGACTCATGTTTCCAATGGATGGCTTAATTAATTATTAAGGATTTCACAATGTATGGCAGTGGATGTACATTTTTAATTATTTCAGGGACCCTTTATAGGTACTTCAAAACCTATTGAAGCCAATAAATGTACATTTTGGAAAAGAACAAAGATATCAATTTCAGAAAATTAGAGAACACACAGGGCAGAGGGAAGCTCATCATTGGAGCTATTTGCTGTGTGTATCATGTCACTGTGTCACCTTCTTTGGGAAGTCTGAGACTAGGGCAACAGTGGTCTTAACAGAGCCACCCCAGAGCCTAGTGGGACGCAGAGGGAAGTATTAATTATGATGCTATTTTACAACTAGAAAGACATTTTAAAAAGTAAAGAAAATGGTCAGAAATGCCTTATGTTCAAATTTTCTTTACATTAAGAAGCAGTCCTAATTTAGTTTCAAAATGTTGATGTGAGCCACAAGAAAACCAGACACCTTGGGCTCTTAAGGCATCTACTATCCTAGAGCCTGAGATTGTTCCTCTCTAATCTTTGGAGCCTGAGGACAAGATAGCCTTAATCAAAGCCTCACCTCCTGTTGCTGAATCTAAGGTTTCCCCTACTCGTCCTTCTAGACTAGAGGATCGGGCTTCTAGACCAGATGCAATCCAGAGCTTTACAGGTCTATACACATCCTTAGCTGAATTTATGCAGGCTCCTCAAGGGTAGTATCCTTTACAAGAAGTAAATGAATAATTTGGCACTTCTAGAGTTCATGTGCCTTTTTCCCTCACTGACCTAAAACAGTTAAAAGTTAGATCTTGCAAAATTTGTAGATGACTCTGATAAGTACATTAAGGTGTTTTCTTTAGGGGCTTCACTCACACTGATGAGCTACACTGGGAAGACATAATGTTACTCTTGAATCAAACATTGACCTCTAATGAGAGACAGGCAACATCACAGACTGCTATTGCATTGGGAGATGAATGCCATATTATTAAGTTTAGAAGGCCAGAAGATAGACAGCCAGCAGAAATATCAGTTCCCACTGGATCCCAAGCAGTCCCTACCCAAGACTCCTACTGGCCTAGCAACCATATGGGAGACTGAAATAGGAGACATTTTCAGACATGTGTTCTTGAAGGTCTAAGAAGGACAAGAGCCAAGCCATTCAATTATTTTAAAAAGTGAGTGATTCAACAAGAAGAAAGGAGCACCCCTCTGCTTTCTTAGATCACTTACAAGAGGCGGTGATAAACACTACTTCCCTAGATCCTAATTCAGTAGAGGGACAAGTTATTCTTTTTCTTTTTAATTTTTTTTGGGTACTGGGAATCGAACTCAGGACCTTGTGCTTGCCAGGAAGGTGCCTGTGCTGCTGAGCTATATCCCTGGCCCAACAAGTTATTCTTAAAGATAAGTTTATTACTCAGCCAGCCCCAGATATTAGAAAAAAGCTACAAAAGAATGCTTTTTCTCCAGATAGGTCACTTGGTATGTTAGTAAAAATTGCCTCCTCAGTATTTTATAACCATGATAAGGAACAGACAAAGGAAAGAAAACAAAGAGACTGAGAAAAAGCAGCTGCTTTTGCTTCAGCAATAAAAGAAACAGACCCTAAGTCTGATTCTTGGGGCCCCAAGAAGAACTCAATGAATACATTCATCTGCTACCACTGTCAAAAGCCAGGCCACCTTAACAGGGACTGCCCTAAGAAGCCAGTGAGTCATGCTCTAACTGCAAAGGTGACCACTGGAGGTCAGACTGCCCTCAAATGAAGACCTCAGAGTTCAGACCCATCCTATGAGTTGGTCCAGCAAGAATGAACAGCCCTGGGACACTCTCTGCCCTCTCCCTCTGACTGGACTGTCATCTCCACAGAGGAGTCCCAAGTAACGATTACTATAGAGGAAAAAGAAATCAGCCTGTTGCTGGACACTGGTGCAAGTCTCTCTGGTCCTACTTTTCAATCCTGGCCTTCCTTCCAGCCATGATACCTCAGTGAAAGGAGTGACTGGAGAGGAGCTAATTTGCCATTTTCCAAAACCCTTAGGATGTGAATCGGTTGATTTTCATTTTATACATCCTTTTTGATAATGCCTGAAAGTCCAGTCCCTCCACTGGGGAGAGATAGTTTATCTTGTTTAAATGCTGTAATATATATGCACCTAGGTCAGGTACACTGTCTTCCCCTCATAGAGACAGAAATACATTCTGAAGTATGGGCAACTAAATGCAAAATATGTAGGGCATTAAGAACTGCTCCAGCACAGATACATCACAGAGATTCTACTATTTTTCCTAACTTGAGACAATGTCCTTTAAAACCTGAAGTGAAGAAAGGATTACTACCTACAATAGATAACCAAAGGCCACAGGATTCCTTGAGACCTGTAACAGCCATGCAATACTCCAATCTTGGGAATTCAAAAACCCAGTGGGGAATGAAGATTAGTACAGGACCTTAGACTGATAAATGAGGCAGTATTGCCAATTCACCCAGTTGGTTTTCTGTTTTAGATTTAAAAGATGCTTTCCCAGTTTCTTTTTGATTTTCAAAATCCTCATGACCAGGCCTCTGAATTGACATGGACAGTGCTTCCCCAAAGGTTCAGGGATAGTCCACATCTATTTGGGTAAGTGGTTTCCCATGACCTGGCATGCTTTGAGTTTTCCTGGGTAACAGTCTTATAGTATGTAGATGATATTCTTTTATGTGCTCCCTCAGAAGAGCTCTGTAGCCAAGGTACCTGTGCTTTGCTAAATTTTCTAGCAGATAGAGGTTTTAAGGTCTCTAAATCTAAAGTACAACTTTGCAGTCTTGAGGTGAAATATTTAGGCCTCATCATATCCAAGGAAACCCAAAGGCTAAACAGCATTCAACCAATTCTTTCATTCCCACAGCCCAAGACCCTAAAAGAGCTAAGAGGATTCCTAGGAATCACAGATTTTTGTTGCCTTTGGATACCAGGACATGGGGAGATTGCAAGACACCTCTATCAACTTATAAAAGAAGCCCAAAAGGCAAATACCCAAATTTTAACCTGGGAATCTGATTCCCAACCTGCATTCCAGAATCTTAAGCAAGCATTCCTAAATGCTCCAGCCCTAAGCCTACCCACAGGACACCATTTCAATTTATACGTTGGTGAAAGGTGAGATATGGCTTTGGATGTGCTTACACTGGATTGCAGAGGCAGTCAACAGCCTATAGGGTATCTGAGTCATGAATTAGACATTGTAGCAAAGGGATAGCCTGCTTGCTTTACAGCTATGGCAGCTGTAGCTCTTTTACAGTGCCAGAGACATCCAAGCTGACTTTAGGTAAAGATCTCACTGTATATACACCTCACAATGTCGCAGGACTTATTTCTTCCAAAGGGAGCCTCTGGCTATCAGACAGTTGACTTCTTAAATATCAGGCTCTACTTCTAGAAGGACAAGCCACTCAAGTAAAGACATGCTGTTCCTTAAACCCTGCCACCTTTTTGCAGGAAAAGGATGAAATTAAGGCTGAAAGACATGACTGCAAACAGGTAATTCTTCATACATATGCAGCTAGAGAAGACTTATTAGACACACCCCTTACTGACCCTGATTTGACCCTTTTCTCTTATGGTAACTCCCTGATGGGAAATGGGAAAAGGTAGGATATGCAGTGGTAACTTTATGTCAGACTCTTGAATGTTCCTCACTTAAACCTGGAACTAGTGCTCAGCCAGAAGAGCTCATAGCACTGACCAGGGCCCAACAACTTAGCAAAGGAGAAAAAGTTAATATTTTTACAGATTCAAGATATACTTTCCTAAT